ATTGCCGTCTTTACCCTAGAACCATATCCAGGGCTCCCGAGCACCCTGGGACTAATTTATAAGGGAATATACTTTTAGTGTGTCGGTGTAATTTGTATGATTTCTTATTCATCTGTCATTGAGTGTTTGATTAATCATTAACGTTATTATTCACACATTTTCACGATAAGTGGTTTAAATAATTAGTACAGGATGCCTCAGCACTCATGGGTAGTAAAATCAACAAAATTATCAAAAAACCTTTTCAATCATAGTATAAGACGCATTAAATTTGTACTTAGGTGCTGCAAAATAAAATGGCGAGTCCGAGTCGAAATTTTAAGTACGATATTGCGCGACTTCTAGAGTGTGATGTCGAAAACTGTGAATATGTTGGAGATGCAAAGTCAGAAAATGAATCTAACGAAGGGATTGGATGTACCCAAAAGAATGTATGGTGTAAATAGATTCAAGTGGAGTGGAGAAAGACGTCGAGTTCCAAGGCAAACTTCTTGGAGTAATATTCATGCTCATGCTCCATGTAATAAAGGATTTGCCAAACACATTCCTACACCCTTAGAAGAATGGTCTTTATTTTTTGACGACAGAACTATAGATATATACACGAGATGTCACTGCTACTGAAATAAAAGCTTTATTTGGTTTATATTACATATCTAGAGTTTCAAAGATGAATGGAGTGGTTTACTTTAGGGCGACTATGAGTGGATCCAGATTTGAATTCCTCACAAATTGTTTACGTTTCGATGATAAATATACCTGAGAAAAGCGTCAGAAAGAAAATCGTTTGGCCTCTATAAGAGAATTATTTCACAACATTGTAACTAAAAGTAAACAGTTTTATTCCAAACAAACCAGATAAATATGAAATAAAGATCATATTATTATATGATGCTAAAGCCTTTTATATGATAAATATGTATACTAAGGAAACTGCAGCTTTTCAAGAAATTAATCTGTTGCAGACTGTTATTTGCAGACTCTGACAGCTCCTATGCATGGAACGAATTGAAACTTTACATGCAACAATTTACTCACGTCAGTTCAATCTGCAAGCAGATTATTTGAAAATAATATAACTTAAAATAATATATTTCGATGCTCTACATATATTTGAGAAAAATTGCGCCCAGTTTGCTTTCCTAAGTTTATCCTAAGTTAGCTTATTGTCCGCCTAAAGGAAGCCTATAAAAATTGTAAAGTTATTATCAACATTAAGATAAAGGCAAACAGTAACTACTAAACACTACTGGTATAAATTCTATGATATTACTGTTGTTTAGTAGAGCCCGCAATAAAGAAACAATAGCAAATAGAAAAGGTTTTCTAAAGAATTTGGCATTAGAACTAATAAATCCATGGTTAGATGAACGAAGAAATTGGCTAACTTTACCTAATAATAGCCCTACTAAAATTAATACTAATAATTGAATTAGAAAAACCAATTTCTGTGTTCTCAAAACAATGTCGGTGTATCATTTTTGGACATGCTTCAATTTCCAGTAGGCATTAAACAAGTATGTTAACATAATACTCTGGTTCCCGAAGACAATTATCATCCAGCATTGTTGGGAACTCTAAATATACCTGCACCTCAGTCTTCAACGTTTCAAGACATATATCGAGACGCCCAGTATTGCTTTAAAAGAGCTAACCTGCCCGACCTATACAGCGCAATGTTGAATATTGATTGGAATTACTTGCTGCCTTTATCATCAGTTGAAGTCTCCTGTGATGTTTTCTATACGACATTATATAGTTTCTTGGATGCGTATGTTCCAAAAACCAACGGAAAACACATAAAAACTAAATATCCTTTGTGGTACTCCTCCACCTTAAAACGAATGCTTAAACAAAAAAAACATTATCACAAATTATCTAGACGAACCAATAACTCCTTTTATCGAATAAGATATGTCCGCCTCCGCCGGGACTGTAAAACACATATGCGTGAGGACCGTCCAGAATACGTAAGATCTTTGGAGCAAAAAATAAAGAAAGACCCAAAGAGTTTTTGGAGATTTGTTAATTTGACCAGAAACAGTGCTATCTCACCAAATATTCTCAAACACGATGGTGAAACTTTTTCCGATCTGCAGACTGTGATTAATTTGTTCGCCGATCATTTTGAGAGTATGTATCTTCCGGCTCCTGATGTCAGTCCTAACGGTGCCCAAGTTGCTGATGGATGGGATGGCGTTTCTTTCGGCATCTCAGAAGTAAGTCCTGATGAGATGGTGGAAGCTTTTAAAAAATTTAAGGCAAAAACTACGACTGGTCCAGATGGTATCCCCGCATATATAGTCAAAGACTGTGCGCCTGTATTATTACAGCCTCTTCAGCATATTTTCAATATAATGATCAAAAATTCTGAATTCCCAAAAATTTGGAAATTGAGCAGAGTTTGCCCTGTTTTTAAGAAAGGTGATAGATACTGCGTAACAAATTATCGACCTATAGCCATCATAAATAATTTTTCCAATCGCAGCGTATGTATCCAATCGCAGACAATACGTTGAGTTAAGTGGTATGAAGTCAAGACAGTTTCATGTTACTAGTGGCGTACCCCAGGGATCTATACTTGGCCCTTTGCTGTTCAACATCTATATAAATGATTTACCTGCGATTTTCAACACGAATTCACTCTTATACGCAGACGACCTGAAACTATTTAGATCTATTAGTTGTGAGCAGCACTGTAAATCACTCCAGTTAGATTTAGATAAACTTTATTCATGGTGTTCTGAGAACAAATTAGCTTTAAATACTCTTAAATGTCAGGTAATGACATACAGTCAAAAACGTAATACCATACTTTTCGATTATGTGCTTGGAGTGGATCACTTGTTGCGTATCTCAACAGTAAAGGATCTTGGAGTGTGGTTTGATGGCACTTTGTCCTTCAATGAACATATCGACAGAACATCGGTTGGTGCCCTCAGAACGTTGGGGTTTATCACTAGAAATACGTTGGAGTTTACGAATTTAAAAACAATAACAGATCTTTATTCTACGCTGGTACGGAGTAAACTTGAATATTGCTGCATTGTGTGGGCCCCATCTTATTTAACGCACATTGCCACCATCGAGAAAGTACAGAGGAAGTTCATTAGGTTTATCCACTACCTCGATTCTGGGTATTATCCACCTAGAGGAGAACTAAACTATATAAATCTGCTACAACGATATGGCCTCCAGAGCCTTGAGGACCGTAGAAGATTGTTGTCTGCGAGGTTTGTGTGCGGTGTGATGTCGGGTGTGCTAGTTGCATCGGAAATACTAGCTCAATTGAATGTGAGGTTGCCGCGGATAAATGCGCGAGTTATAGTGCCTATATGCCAAATCGTGCTAACACCAATGTTGGGCTAAACTCTCCAATAAACAAACTAATGCGTACGGCAAATTCGGTCGAGTGACAGCTTGTTCTTGATTTTCTCTTTTTGTTTATCTTTTTTATTTTTTTTTATTGTTTGTCTTATTTCATTTTTTAATTTTAGAATTGATTATTGTTGATTTATATAATATTATCTCTTTATTGGATTGTAATCCGTTGGGATAATAAAGAATATTATTATTATTATTATAATAATTGTTTTTCTTGACAGTTCTTTTAATAAGCCAGGTGAATGCAATTCCTGGAGCTTTTTTAGGGTAAATACTATTATCGTTTTCCAGGGTATCTATTCAGCTTTATAGTTATTTTTTGCTGATGAATAGGTGCTATATTCACTGTCGACTGTATATTATTTGGTTAAAATACATTACTTAGATGTTGGGCAAATAATCTAGTTTTTTCATCACTGCATCTAACCCATTTATTTCGGCGGCACACGTGAGTAGTCTCTATCTGCTTCCGAGTTTAAATCATTAAGATATTTTTCGATGCATCTCTGATTAAATTCTTTAATGTTTTGGTTTGTTTGGTCGCTTATTTAGTTGAATTTTCTGGATCTATGCCATATTCTTCCTGCACATCTTGTTACTTTTATCATATCTCTAATTCAAGGAGGTAACTAACATATTTTAACCTGCCTTCTTCGTAGCTTCTCGAATTTGTTCTATAAGATTTTGAGCATAAATCTCAAAATGATCTTTATTTTTTAGTTTTGCATTTAAACTAATTAGCTTTTCTAGCCTTACTCTGAATTCTCACAAATATATTTACTTTCTCGAACAATTTCATGATTATAGATAGCAAAGTGCGGACATACAAGACTTACATTAGGCAGACCACCACAAGATAGCTGACAGTCAACTTCATAGGAAATATTTCAGAGACCTTATTAGAAACAACAGACCGAGCGTTCTGGAGAGAAAATAAGAAGAAAATTAATTAAGCTATCATCTCGTATAATTAAATTGTTTCAATATGTTGCTTTGCCCTAAATAAGTCAAAACTCTAATTCACAAATTTAGAATTAAGTTATGATTTCATGTCCCATTTCTTTTCTGATTCTAGTTTAATTTGGGTTTATGCTATGCTTTTAAAATCCTTAATTAACCGAACAATATGAAAGAATCTTTTCAATAATAAACACCAATTACCTACTCGGAAACCGTACTTTTAATCGACCTGCATATCTGTCACGCACCCATTTCCTTTTCGATTAACTTGTTTACTCAACGATCCAACAACAACAAACAATAAAAAAATAACAATAAGCGTTAAAGTACGCCCGGTGTTTTTCGATTCAATTTCCTGACGTAATTCAATCTCAATTTGTACATCGATTATTATTTATTGAATTCAATACGAACGATAACTTTTCCTTTTTTGCGTTGTGTTTAAAAAGAAACTGTTACTGTAACTATATACGGACGGGCCCGTTATTTTGTTAATTGGTCGGGAATGATTAAAATTGACACAATGACGATCAAGGCATTCGGTAAACAGTTAGCTTTCCGGTCAACATCTCAGCTTTAAAACAATAGTTAATTTAAAAATTATAATAAATAGTTAATTATAAAATAATAAATTTGTTTTTCTTTCTTTGTTTTAGTCTATTGTCGATGTAAATTTAAAATGGATGGACACGTATGAAAACAACGTTACAGAAACAATATAAATAAAGAGATCAAAAAGGATTGGCAAAAAAATTAAAAATGAAATCTAAAATGTTCAACTTGTACCTGTTGGTTATCTTATTTTCGTTTCACTTTGGAATAACCAAAGCTCAAGATTCTCAAGAAACTGTATCTTGCGGTGGTTCGATAGCTACGGCTGTGGTTGTTACGATTATTATCTTGTTGGTGCTTGGCGGTGCTATTTATTACGGATGGAAGCGATATGGAAAATACAAGAATGGTAAGTAAATGATTTATTAATCGAAAATTGTTTCTTAAAGCAATGAGTAATTTTGGTTTAATTGAAATCTAATGGAGTTAGTAAGCTTTACGATTTATCGTTGAGTTTATAAACAGCTTTAAGGATTGGCACGAGCCCACTTAATAGGCAGGTCAGGCTTCTTCTTTCCTGATGGCTTGTCTGTCAACTGGCCCACTGGTCTCATGTCAATGCGGCTTTAAAAGGTCGTTGACTGGGATCAGTGATGCTGTTGATGTTCTATAAAAATGGTTTATAAATAAAATGTTTTAACATAAATAAAAAATAATTAATAAAAATATAGTAATAGAAATTAAAAATATTTACACGAGACGTAAATGACTTCTTTAATAATTATGCTTATCTTTATTATATCTACTTTAAATTTAATGTAATTGCAGTTGCAAATTACCTTTAGATTTATGATATAAGAATATATTATTATTGAAACATGTAGCCTTGGTCAAATGTATTGATGCAGAAAATAACACCTGCGAATGAGCCATATTAACCACTTTCAAAAATAATAATAATATTTTTAAACTTTCGTCGAAATAACGATATATTAACTTTATAAGACCTTCATTTTCTATTTCATTACTCAACATGCAATATTTGTGCTATCTATAACTACTGCTATTATTTTGAAAAGAAAAAAACATCACGACACAAGGTTAGATGAATGTTGAAATTGTAATGCGCTAAACGTTTCGCGTTCACCTGGAATTTACAATACTCATTGTTTTAATAAAACTATCAAGTATTCGCTTTGTTCAATATTGTTGACCACCAATCTATTAACGACCATGAGTAATTTCTGATAATCGAATCTAATCCAATTTTCAATATAACCCGATAGCAAAAACCATTAGCGTTTTGATGGGTTTTGTAGATTGTTTATTTGGCATTGAATTTGTTACGACCTATTATAACCAGTACGCACCATACGTTCTAAGGTAGCAGAGCAAAAACGTTGTTATATGGCTGTACAGGCAAATATTTGCCTTTTTTACGTTATGCAATGCTTTACTGACGTCATTGGTATTTTTATACCTGGGTAAACATGACATTTGCACAGAGCAATAAAAGTTATACGGCTCGGTACAGTTCGTTGCAATTGACAATAGCACTTTGTGGTGTATTGGAGCAAGGTAACGATTATGATTAACTGTTATGATTTGGTTTGTCCTTCGAATATAATCTTAAGATTATATTTTATCTATCATAAATTAATTGATTGCATTTTTTTATATAACACAAGACAATTGTAAACTAAATGGAATAAAACTTGCAATTTGTAACTAACAATTAACTTGGAATCAAAAAAAAAAACTGTTGAACACGTTGTTGCTATTGATTTATCTTGTAAATAAATTAAATAGGAATATGGTATAAGAGCGTTTAAGGCTGGTTTCGATTTACAAGTAAATTTGGCTATATACATAGCCAGTACATTGATCTATTCTAACTAAGAAGATAAGCTTTTGGGAGGTTCAAATCGTTTGCTAAAAAAATTGGGATAAGAGGATGCAGACTCAGATAACATCAGTTTCGAATGAATGAAGCAAATCCAGAAAGAAAATACAATGATAAAAAATATGCTGTAGAGACACGAACCAAATTGCAAATCGCCCTCAAACACCTTTCATAACTAGTAGTGATTATAATACAAAGTAACACCAAATTGTGCAGCACTTCAATAATAACATAAATTCAGTATTATATTACTTGCTGTGGGGTGCAATGAGGTGTTATCTACGAATCTACTAAACATTCCATTTGAAAATTCTTCTGTGATAAGCAGATGCATAGCAAAATTCATCTAGAGGATTACTGGGCAACAAGGTTAAGAAGTCTCTATAAAAATACTCGTAGATATTGTAAAAATGCACTCATATTATGTTCTGATAATGGCAAAAATAACAATTTGGATAATTTTGTATTTAACCGTTTGGATAGCAAAGGGTATTGAAAAACCACTGTAGAAAATCCCCAAGATGCGCAACCGTGCTTTCTCTAAATGAGTACGAAAAGTTATATAGAGTTAAATAAAACAGAATAATTGAGATATTGGACTGAAATTTATTCCAGATGCAGTATTCAGCTTACATTTAACTATGGAATTCGATATCATTCATATGACCACCGCATATGACATTAGGACTCAATATTGCACCACTCCTTTAGACATCTAGGCCAGAACCCCATAAAAAGAAATCTAACGGCGTTAAATCGTTAAATTTACCAGTTACCGAACTTCCACTTCAATAGATCAATTGTTGGACCAGCTGTGTGGCATGTGGCATCATCTTGTTGGAATCACATATCACTGATGTCAAGTCCATCGATTCTGGCCAAAAAAAGGCATTCAACATGTCACGATAATGAACCGTAATATGACGATTGTTCATCGACGAAAAGATATGGTCCAATCACACCTTCGGCATGAAATCTACACCACATGATCAATTTTTGTGGTTATAATGGAGTCTCTTGAAGCACATGTAGATTTATTGGCATCTTGTATTATATAAAAGAATGTCTTTCAAAAATGATTTTGGAGACCTAAGTTGATTCCTCCAAAAAACGCGAGTAGCTGGTGGAAAGGAAGCCTTAACTTCTAGTGATCTGAATCCAACAATTCTATTTGTTTTATTATATAGACATCCTATTATCGTTCCAAGTAGATTTATAATTATATCTAAATAAACAACAAAATGTCGGATTTGCAAAAGAAATTTTTTTTACATTTCTCCATTTTAATATTGAGAAGTTACTCCATTCCAAACGTGTAATTTGGTGTGCAATGGAAAGCGCGGATCATCATTGCTATGTTCCTTGAAACGACTACTGCTCGATTTATAAATGTTGTAGAAAATGATATCATTCCTATTATTCAAAATGGCCCAAATTAAGACAAGATATGATTTATGAAGGACGAAGTACACCGTCGGACTAATAATGTTTGAAACATTGTCAGAGTACTTTGGAAATGCGTAACTTTGTAGCACTCAGAGTTCATTGGAAATCATTTAGCCGGTGTGGTGACTCATATTTGTAGGGTCATGTTATAGACAAAGTTACGGAAATAATTCTTAAACTATCACTGATCTCCAAAGCATCGATGTTTCAGCACTTCACATCATAACCATTGATGGAAATCTAAGAAAATGGTTACAAAATGAAAAAGAAGCATTTACATTTTCTGTTCCAATGCTATGGAAAAAGCCGAATAACTACCTTATCGATTGTTATTTTTGTACCGTTGATATGACTGGTTATAATTAAAAAAAAAAGTTGTAGAGATATGAGTCTTCGTGTTCCTAAATCACCAGACCTTATGGAAAATATTATCCCGGATGCCACAGTTCTTGTTTCTATGAATGCAGCCGGAAATTTTATGCCGAAAATGAATACAGGATTTTCGGTAGAAAGAAAATTTTACTTGAATTAATGGACAACGCTCCTAATGCAAATTCAGCATTTACTCAGGATAAACGTTAGATTGCTCGAGACGTCTTTTTAAAATTTATGAAGTATTTTGGTGAGCAAACCAAATATTAGCAAAAATGTTCAATTTTTATTATTTTTAATAATAGCTCACATACAAAAAGCTTAAACGTCATAAATTTCGCCTCATGTACTGACAAAATGACCTGATGATTGAAAAATCATTATGGTCGAACTTTCGGGCTATATCGAATCGCAGGTACTCAAAAAAAATCTTTTGGGAAAGCAATAAGCGGTGAAACTGCCATAGAATCCCAAGTAGTGGGGCTTTTTCATTCGGAGGTTCTACAATTGATATTGTTATAACAAGGGTGATCAGCTCATTGCAATGGTCCTGTAAGGATTGACTTTGGCCAAATTAAGAAAATACAAGGTCGGATTATACTTAATTAAGCCGAGGTCGCTTGCGGCCGAGGCTCAGCAATTTTTTAATAATAATAATATTTATTAGTGCATCCAAAATATACATTTTTTATACTCTTCATATAGAAAAAACTCATAATACATAGTAAAATCACATATAGATCATCATTCTATAATTTGATGTTGTCACGACCGATGCCCAATGCCACAAAATCCCTTTCAAAAAATTCATATTCAAGGAACTCAGAATAAGAATAGAAACCTCTTAACAGCAGAAATTGCTTTATCAATGTTGTAAACTTGCTCATAGGTAAAAGTGTAACCGTTAAAGGTAATTTATTGTAAAACTTGAGCGCAGTAAAATGTATACCTTTCTGTGACTTACAATTAGAGAGTCTACAGACTCTAGGTTCTGTAGCTATGTATATCTCTGTGGGCAGTATATTTATCTACATTGTTATACAAGTATGTTCTGATCTATAAAAAATTCACGCCACTCGTCTCGATACTTCAGACCATATAAGACACGAATGGCACGTCGCTGCAGCCGAAAAACCCTAGACCAACCCAAACAGTTCCCCCAGGCCAACAGAGAATATGATAATAGCGATTGACACAGTGCAAAGTAAGCAATTCTCAACGCCGGTCTCGACACATTGCCACCTAAAATGCACAACACTAAAACGTTACTGCTCAGCCTTCCGTAAAGTAATGCTGCTCCCATTTCAATGTGGGGACCAAGCGAACACCCAAAAAATCTATGAATTGCTTACCCATTAGATCTGGCTGAACACCTCTCAGTGTAAAGACAGCTTCAGCTGTTTTATTACAATTCAGAGCGGTACGCCCGATGTACTGCAATAGCATCAATGAGGATTTTATGTCAGCTGATTAAAGTAGTGTCGTCAGCATAGAATATAATTGAAGACTTAGATATTAAAGCAGGTAAGTCATTTATGTAAATGAGGAAAATCAGAGGCCCCAACACTGACCCTTGTGGAACTCCAATAGAAATGCATTCTGATGTAGAATAGCTATCATTACAACAGACTATTTGTCTTCTGCCACCAAGGTACGATTGAATCATCTTAATACTACTATCACCTTAT